ACACGTTCCAGACAAATGTCTTCTCGAAGTTTTGAGCAAGCTTGATGCTGATACCATCTGCACATTGCGTTTGGTGAACAAACGATTGAATAATTTAATTCAGGTCAGTCATTCGGTCACATAAAGCTCACACGTTGCAGTTGTCTTTCTGATTCCTAATGCGCGTTCAATCAAAGACATTCCTCATGATGCCTCATATCGCTGAGTGATTTCATAATCCAAACAAACTCTTTCACAACTGATCATGTTTCGATCAATATTACATCGTTGAGCGAACATGAAAATTACCATCTTCAGATATCCGCATGCTTAGATTTACTGGCGATCCCAACAGTTTCTTCCTCTTATAAAATGAAACCAATTCTCTTAAATCAGATGAATATATATTTCGTCATCGATTGATAATGATAATTTCGGCATTTATGCATCTCATTCTCAGACTGCTAAGCGATTTTATTAGGCCACATACGTCGGAGCACGTATGGAAAACTCAGTAGTACAAAAATACGTATATATTTATCAATTTTTGCTGACTTCTACTGAACAATTCAAAATTTCAACCAAAATACAGCCATATTCTTCAGTATCATTGAAATTACAGCGTCATCATGATATGCTGGCGAGGAAGTCTGTAAAAGGAGTGCATATGAGATTCGAAACATCAGATGAGGTTTGTCGAGTGCGATATTCAGAACATTCCACAAGCGATCCCCATTCAAAGGTCTCAAAGAAATCCACCATAAAGGTACGTGAACCAACAGTTTGATAGAATATTTTCTTATACTATCAGTTTTGGAACGTTTACTTCTTGTAAAAGAATATTATTTCACAGAAAGAGCAATGATAAGTTTTTGTGCCAAATAATTTTTTCCTTGAATCCATCTCGTCAAGTCATTTGTTGTAATTAACATACAAATAAATCCGTTTTGACTTACCATATGAATCGACTTTCTATATGAATCGCTCATTTTCTATCAGAAAATCACCTTAAAAACCAAAACTTTCCGGCGAAATAACTGCTGATCCAGCATCATTCAATATCTCGCTGTTTTTGCTTTGCGAATCGCGATGCCAATCGCTAATTTATCAGAGGCTAATGATATTTTACGCTTAATTTCGTTTGTAAATGTCATATTCTGTGAATTTCAGTTGTGTCAGCTGGATTCTGCCTTACGGCATTTGGTGATTACTGAGACCGTTTGTATTGAAGGTGGACTGGTGGGGCATTTGACTCGAAACACTCTGCAACGCTCTCTGAAACGACACATTAATTCTCTTGATCTAATCAATTGTACTATTTCACTTGGGTCAGTTTCAGTGATACCTCAATAATTATATTCATTATTCAGTATTGCATTTCAATGAGTTATTTTTCTGTTGTTCATACGGTACCCTTTAAAAAATCATTTTATCCATGTTTTATCAGTTTCATAATAGATCGTAATCTCTGGTGACATTTTCACTCGTTTTCGATATCCGTTACTTTCACTAATAAAAGCAGAAAGTTGAAATTTCTATCATCTTGAAAGCGAAGATATTTTATTGGAACAGAGTTTCATTGAAAACGATATGTTTCGCAGCTAGCACATTCATCTCAGTAGATGAACGGATCATCGGATGTTCCCGTCAGCTGTTCCAAGCAATTATTCTCATTCCAGGCATCACCTCATCAGCTTTTTCTTTGCTGCTTCAATCAGTTCAAACGAGATCATTCCTGTGGAATTATTGCCATAAAATTCATAATATTTTGGTAATCAGCCACAGTTGCTTATATCATATGAATTAAAGTTCTAAATGCGAAGAAAGTTGCAGTTTTGAAGAGTTCGCGAATTTTTTGCGACGTCTTCGAGTTCGAAACGTCACGTTGATCGACTGCACGATAGAGGATGTTCAGCTGATCGGTGATCCGCTGTTTGAGATCAACAAACAAATCGCTTTCGTTGATGTACAATTCCCACATCTTCAACAGTCCGTTTTCAACTCATTAGCTGCTGTCTCAGCGATTCATATAACCAAGCGATGTTTTTTACTCAAATCATGCCCATGAATGCGTTTTATGCCACGTTAATTGCTCAGAATCCAAAATTCATGAACTAAAATCAAATTGAATGAGAAGTCTGACCCTTTCCGATAGATGGTTTGATATCTGCGGGACTTGATGTATTCATCGTTTGTTTCCACGACAGTTTAATTGCTAGAAAATCATTTCAGCTGTCCTCTGCTAACGGATCGCACCCTCAAAGAATGGGCTGATTCGTTGAGTTGGCCTCAAACTATTCTGTTGCGGACATTGCATAGCAATATCACTCGTCAAGGGGTTGCTACAATGATAGAGGTTTGATCTTTTTAGATAAATTCGATCTTCCATAAATCTGGAACTCTTGTTCACAGAAGATTAATATCACGTAAGTTATGCAAGATAGCATCTGAACGATGAAACCTAAAAATGTGGATAATCCCACATATCATTACGTGTTTTAATGTAACACTGAATGTTCATTCTCTGTGTGCCACCTCATATGTTATCAACGTGAATTTACAATTAGAGTTTATGCGCTGTTAGTATGAGAAATACCGTATTTATTCAGTCATTTACATGCTAAAGAATGGTACCTAGGTATTTATCTCATTGATACCAGGAGTTGTAACCGGAATTATGGATTTTGAACTGTGTGCATTGATCAGTTACCATCTGTAAGCAGTGTCACATTACAATTATCAGCTGCAGCTACATCCGTAGGCTCTCCCATTGATCAAACTATTCCTGAATCATTTCAGTTGATAATTTTGTGCTTTAGAGTTATATACGATGGTGTAAGAAACAACGAGCCCAACCCATCCCACGCTTACGTTCATCACAATCATTACTGTGGAATTTTGGTACGATTGACGGTGATGTGAAGCAGCTGGAAAATGCAATAGGAAAACTGAAAAAGTGCATGAAAATTACTGTAATTGAAGCATCAGAAGAGCAATTCGCGGCGATCATTCGTTTCGATCGCTCATCTCCGGTTCTTCACTTGAGGACTTCTTTTGCCAGTAGGAAGAGAAAGTGAGTTGATGATAAAGTTCCGATTCTGAGGTTGTCTGTCATATTCTCATGAGCTTCTGAGAATCTTAACTTCCTATCTTTGATGAGAAATCAAAACTTTTGAGACAACTGAATAGAAATTCCAGTGAATCTCTTCATAGCTTAATAGAATGTTGACTGTAGAATGGAAAAAGTGAGTAAATACCTAAACTAAAAGCGAATATTTTTGTGAGATGATAAAGACCAGATACTAGAAATGTTCAGAGGTATCCATCTCTTAATGAACTTAATGTATATAATAGGAGATTATCTCAGAGCAATGATAATATTACACGTGATTATTCTATCGAAAATAATGATAATAATGTTGTTTATAGTAAATTCTGTAATAATGATAATAACTTATTATTTTGAAAAAGTATTTGATCTTATATGGTGATTGTTTTAGAAATTATTTTTGTAATCTCGTTTGAGAGATGTTAATATATTGTTCTATTGTTGCATATGGTTTGGTTGATTATGTTTATTCAATTATTCTCTTTAGTTTGATAATCAAACCAAAGAAAGACTTGCTACCCATGTCATTTCATCTGTTCTCTATATAATAAAATGAGCAATCGCCTGGAATATTTTTCCGAGTTTTTATTTTATTGCCTTCAGAGATAATGCTTACTGTAAAGTAATTCAAGCAAGTATATTGGTGTATTTAGTGGATTATTTGGTTTCTAATAATGCTTGATAGTTACGTTTTTGTAACTAATAATTCATATGTAACTTTTCCTGGTCTTTTATCTGAATTGTAAGTGGACTCTCATTCAGACTACCATTTTATTTCGAACATGTATATGGAATATATTTTCTATCTTATTCTACACTATATTCTGTTCTATTTCGAATGTGTATATGGAATGTTTTATTCCTTTATATGTAAATGTGTCACTGAGGGATATCCACTTGAGATGACGGAATTCCCAAGTGGATCACAC